CCCGTGGGATCAACTAACCGTTTGTGAGTTGTTAGGAAAAAAAGCAAGAGTTAGCAGTTTCACTGGCATGCTGCAAGTTTTTTTTGTTAACAGTTTATAAGTCAAAGACATACAATTTTACTTTTTAGATTATTTTAGATCTGCAGAGTAAACTGTAACTTTGAAATATGGCTATATGATTTATATGAGCTCAGATATCGCTCACATGGCCTGAACAGCAACCCTCACACTCTCCAAATCTTAAAAGTGAGTACCGTGATATGTCAAGAATGTAGACCTTCACGATGATCTAGGTCTCAAGATCTTTTATCCTCATGACCTGACCTGATCTACTTGATCCATTCAGTATTGTTGGACACTACTAGTTGTAATGTTAACAGTAGAAAAAGGACAGGTGAGCATAGTCATTAAGCTTTGTGAAGCACTTGACGAGAACAGAATACTAATACCTTGTGATATAGTAAACAGGTTAATTCACTCAAAATATATTGTTTGGAACAATGCCATCTTCACCGTTTTACCATTGCCCTATCTACCACTGGAGTAAAGTTTACCCTTGCTACTTAGAACTATTGCGTTCAGCCACAGTGCATTTTGAGAGTAAGCTTGTATTACCACTCACGTCCAGTTTGAGAATTAACTCCTCTCCACTGTCTCCTGAGTACTATGTTTGAATGAGGTTAGAAAAGAGTTCCATAATCTGGCAGCAGTTTAGCATAAATCACCAATATTTTTTCAAATCAATTAATGTGTTATCATATTACTACATAATAATATAGTATATTAAATAGATATAATATATAGATAGATGTATTAAATATTTCGTAATAAAATTAAAATAATGTCATGATAAATAAGGATTATTTTAATGTATTCTTAATTCTGTAAAATAGTCGATTTTTTTAATATATTCTTAATTTAATAATAATTCATTTATAAATATAATTTATGATTTTATTTATTTTTTAAAACTTAAGTTTTAGCATTTATCATTATATTATTATTACATACTTATATTTGTTACATGTAAATATTATTACCATTCATGGTACATTAACATCGTCGGTTTTTCACGCTCTCAATTCTACAATATTAATTATTGTACACAATGTGTCGGAAAAAAATATAGAGAAAATGTTTTGTAAGCACAAGTTTTATTACTTACGTTCGTCTTCATAAAATTCGGCAGTTTTAATAAAGTTTGTACACAAACAACAACTCACTCAATATTTGAATCTCTCTATTTAAATGAACTATTAATAATAAATACAGCACTTATGATGCAAACTTTTTTTTTAAAACAAAAATGTGCATATGACGTATTTAATATAGTCGAATTAAGAACATTCATTAATTTCTTGTATCGAAAACTTTACTTTACCATAACAAGTGCCGAAATCATTAGATACTGGCTGTCATTAGGTCATTGCTCCGAAATTTAGAGATCAGAAATTGACAGATTTTTTTCCAAAAACAAAAGCTTTGCTTATTACACGGCTTTGTATTTTTTTTTAAACAACATATACTTTAAAAAATCATTTAATTTGAAATAAATTATTAAGTTTTTTTTAACTTTAACGTTAACTCCTCATGCAACCAGTCGTGACTATAAACAGACTGCGTCTTCATTATCGCCTAATTGTTGCCGCCGCTGACTACTTCCTGAATCCTGATCACGCAGGAGCCAGTCACCGTCGACGCCCTAGACACGTCCTGACGGATCCATCAGATCCAATAACCTTTGCATTAGACGCCTTCAGCTCTAACACTAGGAGCAGGCTTAGGTAGGACCCCGGTAACCGTAGGTACTCGTGCAACTTAATATGAGTTTCTTGCCGGATCTTCTCAGCGTGTCGCGATCCGATCCGGTAGTAGATTCATTCGCGAAGCAGCTGCTCTTGAGTGGCCAGTTCTCCTTTGGAGGTGCTCTGGCAGCTGTTAACAAATCCCACCCCTCTGGCTGAGCCCTTGCTCGCCCACCTATCCTGGTGAAATTGGGAAGGTCTCTGAGCCACCAGTAATCCTACAATCCAAAAAAAACTATAGTCAGTTGTGATGTGGATGACGAATGTAGATGTATTCTACTCTTTCACAGTAAAAATAAAGTACAGATAAATTTATTTGTAACCCATATAGTCAAATAATCCTTTTTAAGTAAATAATCCTTAGTAAAGCCGCGTCTTTTGGGCAAAAACGCTATGAAATGATCAAAAATTTACTAAGGTTGAACTCGACACGTGAGACTAGCCCCATAAGTTACTAGCGAATAAGTAGGAAAACAACAAACACACTAAACTTTAGTAGACTTTTTAGGACAATGCACCGTTATTCATGTTTTAGTGGTGATGATAATAAAAAGAATGTATTTAATACGTTTACTTTTGATGTGAAACATCTATAGCCACACGTAAAACCGATTTCTGGCATGGCGACGCATGCCGTGACGACGCGTCGCCATGCGCAATCGACTGTGCGATTCTCTCCCACTCGATCCAGCGTTAAGCCATCTCTCTCGCTACACTGAGCTCGGATACCTATAGTGTATACTCTATAGTGTATACAGTGTTGTTTACTACAGTACACATAACCTGTGTTTTACTTGAAAACAAATTATTTTTTCGTAATATTTTATTTTATCATTATGACATATTTAATTCCTATCACAATCTGTTCTTTTCTGCTTATTACTTTTACAAAATAATGTCGATGTTTCACATCTGCCGAGCGTCCCGTGACGGCACACATTTTTTATTTATTTGAAAAAGTCTTTCTTATGCCTGGTTAAACAGTAAGCAATACATTACAAAAGTTCGATTTATTAAGCCGCCTATCCCATCTCTAAATGCATTCTAAATTCATTTTTTTAAGGGATTTTATGACCTGGTAACTGAGACCTTTAAGTCATGTCTTATTTTAATTTATATTCATATTTTTATGAAAAATGATAATATGGAGTGAAATGAAATGAAGAGACATACATAAACAGAATTTGAGACATTAATCAACTGGGATGAAATTAAATGAGATTATATGGGATGAAATATAATCTTAGTAAAATGATGGTCATTTACTAAGATTTTTTCAGTGGATTTTTTGGAGGATCCCGAGAAATTACGTCCAGCGGCTTTGTTTCATTTTCCCCCATTTGTGCACTTTCACAGAAATTAAACAGTTAATAAACCACCATTATTACACATTTAAACCCGAAGAAACACTAAATAGACAAAATAACACAAATCACACAACTTCACTCCTCACGTTCCCGCCAAAAAGTCCATTCTAAATTCAGTACCGTACAATGGGGTAAATAGGGACAAAATCGACCTTCAGATTGAATTTTAAAATAGTTCCAATTAAATAGTCACTGCTCAACCAAAGAAATAAGTTGAGTCTTGAACGTACCTAGGTGATAAAAACCGTTACATTATTTTAATTATTCAGTTTAAAGAAATAATCGGTAAATTAATGGCCGTCCCAATTTACCCAGCGTCCGGGGTAAATTGACACGGTTAAGGGTTAAATTGGGATATTTGTAAGGGTTGGCAACTCGCAGTACTGCGATATATAGGTAGGTGCCATATAATTATTTATATGGACCGAAATGATGAATACAATCCATAATTTAAGCACAATACACAACATAGTGTAAATTAAGCTGGTTTCTATTCCGAAGCGATGTGACGTGAATGATAATCAACAATACAATGATCAAAAAAAGTATGTGCATGTTATATTTTAGAAAATTATTATTTAATTTCCTTAAAAATCACAACTCTGAAACAAAATCATAAAATAGAATAAAAAATAGAAAACAAAAGGACTGGAAATGCAATAATACAATTTTATTTAATCAACATTTTCAAAATAATCTTTGAGCAAGAGTAAGATATCAGGTGAATAAGATAAAAAAACAGCTTTATCTGATTACTGCCAATAATAACAAAAATAAAAGAAATTCTTTCTAAGCTAAATAACTAAACTCAATTAATTCACTCACTCATAATTGGATATCTCGGATTTTTAATTAATGTTACATTTAAAATCTGAGGCCTGTTTTTATTTGTGTGTGCGTTGTGAATGTTAACAAAATCATGATTCGACGCGTGAATAGATTCTGAAATAACAAAAGTTTTGATTCGTTTGAGTTCTTTTAACTTTTAATTTTTTTTATTGCTATAAAGAACATACGACCGGGCAGATATTACAAGGTAAATGTCGCGAAAAAAAAGTAATTATATATATATACTTTTCTTTTACCTATAATACTTACATTAACTAACTGATAAACACATTAACCTTCTTTACATCACGCAATTAAGTGATAGTATAGGCTAAAAAATCTATTATAAGATATCAGTGACAACCCTAACAAGCCATCCCTATTTTGTCTTTTGGCGTTCCAATTTTGTGTTTTCTCGTCCCTAATTTATCCAGCCTCGTTCCCAATTACCCTACATACGTCCCAATTTTCCCCAAAAAGAAAGGAAAAAATATTCATTTTTTATTTTGTCGAAATATTGTATTTAAAATAAGAATATTGCAACTTACCGTTTGTTGTGGTATTTCCATGTGTATTAAAAACTTATATAAACTGTGATCTTACTGAAAAAACAACGATAATATTACTTTTTTTAAAAGTTCTTTAAGCTGTTTTAAAACGCACTTTTCAACCACTATTTTAAATTTAATTTGACGAATTTTTGGGACCAACTTAACTCATGTTTACTACTTCCATAGTTAACTTGATTTTTCTTCTATACATTGATAAATAATACCTTAAAGAAAATTAGGTAGATTCCGTGCTACAAGTACTTTGAGAATCTTCCGCAGGTTTGTCCCAATTTACCCCAGAATCCCAATTTACCCCATGTCATGGTAGGTACCTACGGCATAGACTACTTCAGTGACATACGGTAGTCACTGACAGGCGTGACAGGTGGCATTGACAATGACAACGACAACAAACGTGCCTAGATTAATTGTACTTTTCTAAACAGAAACAACTTTTGGGCGCTAAATGAGTTTTGGTAGTCTTGTTGAGTTAATCAAAATTATAAACAAACGCAAGTTCTAACATGCAAATTATGTTAACAATCGTTATTTGTTAAATGAATATGGAAGAAGAAAGTTAGTTCTTCCTAATGGTCTTTTTTGCATTTCCTCAAGAAGTTTCAGGTTACTAAAATAACTTTTGTATCTTTTAGAACTTTTGCGTAAAAAAAAGAAAGCTCTAAACGGAAGTAACAGAAGAGCCTTAGCAGAAGCTTGTAATGATTTAGCTACGTTTTATTACAAAAATAATCGATACAATGACGCTCTCGACGAGTATAAAATTGAAGCCTCGGTATGCAAAGAGTTGGGTCTCCGTATGGAATGGGGGAATTGCAGCAGGATGATCGGCGAGATGTACATGTTAATGGCTGAATTTGATAAAGCCCTGAAATACGAAGAGAGACATTTGGGTGAGCCTTCGTAATGTTTTCATTCAAAATTTAGTTTTTGATCTACTTAATCGTACACACTTAATCTACTTGTTTGTTTCAAATAAACATCTAAATTATTTTCCCATATTGTTCGATATGAAGTCTCAGTTTACCAACATTCCCTATTAATACCCTAGTATAACAATCTCTCAAAAGTGAATAACGTGAAATAGTTTATTTACAAAATTCCATATGCCCAACACATGTGCCTCTCTAGAGAGAGGCACATGTGTTGTAATTATGTTCATTAAGTTAGATGTATGTAGAGATTAAATAAAAAATACGAACTAGTTGAACACAGCTTTAACTTGTGTACTGAGTGTTTTGGAACTACCCTTTAAATTCGGAATAGGCGCTGGTGATTGTGGACATTTATATGACATTTTAAAAAACAATAATGGACAATTAGCTGAGAAGTGGTCATGAGCCAGCCTTGGATGATCAGGCATTTTTAAATTGTCCAAGAGAACTAGTAATGACTTAGCCTTAAGAAGCCCATGGCTTGTTTACTATAAATGTAAATAAATAAACCATCAGTTCTTGTATGTTGTTGACTGCCAATTTTATATGCTTTATTTCCTTGTACGCAAAATATGGACCTAAATCTAAAACAAGAAGTATGTGTGGATTAATTTAATTAATATTGAGCTCTTTGCCCCTTTAAGTCAGAGATTTTGTAGATCTGTAAGCTTGTCTGGGCACTAATGCCAAAAAGATAAATAAAACATTTAACTGTTGAAAAAAATTATAAAAAGTAATTAGGATATTTAAGAAAAAATTATCTGTTTTATTTTACAGCTGTAGCTAAAGAATTAAAGAACTTAGTGGAAGAACAAAGAGCTATGGCAACATTAGGCAGGATATATCTGCTACAAGGACAAAGCACAACTGATGAAGTTGAGGCAAAGACATCTCTGAATGCAGCAGAAAAAGCTTTTATGAAAAGCTTAGTGTTGTGTGAAAAGTATAAATTTTTTTTTTCTAACAGCCAATATGGCTAATTGGTGTATTATAAAATTATTATATCACCAAATTATACTAGTTGGTAGCAGCTACATGAAGCTATATGAAGTTTAGTGTTTAGAAGATTACTGTTCGAATACCCTTGTTTATGGCATCAGACTCAGATTCCACTCGCACTCAGATGTGCCTTAGGGTTGTCCTGGCAATAAAATAAATTCAACATGTAATTAATTACCTTATCTAAAAATATGTGAAGGAAGCTAGTTTATCCTGAACTTGACAATAATTTCTATGTGAATTTAATTAAGTAATCATGTCTACAGTGTACTGGTTAAAACTGGTCAATTAAATATTGGTCTGAGTTTCCGTGATTGAATAAAACAATATACATACATCATTTCAGTTTAAATGGAAAAATAAATAAACATGAGTTAATGGACATGAGAGCCCGGTTACTCCTGAATATTGGTGTGGTCCAAGAACACCTTGGTTTTCTTGAAAAAGCAACAGATTGTATACATAAAGCAATCTCAATATGTTCTAATCAGGACTTGTATGAAGTATTACATAATTGTTATATGACTGAAGCATTGCTACATAGCAATAAAAAGAAGGATTATGCAAAAGCTTTAAGTTGCTTGAATAAGGCCCTTGAAATAGCAAGTAGACTGGAGAATAAGGTAAATATCTGGACATATGTAAATGTATGTAGTTGTACATATTGTAACCCTGACCATATAACACAGTCATAAATTATCAGCAACTGACCATTTGTACCCTATATAGTTACATATTATTATTTTTTTATTTTTTTATTGCTTAGATGGATGGACGAGCTCACAGCCCACCTGGTGTTAAGTGGTTACTGGAGCCCATAGACATCTGCAACGTAAATGCGCCACTCACCTCGAGATAGAAGTTCTAAAGTCTCAGTATAGTTACAACGGCTACCCCACCCTTCGAACCGAAACTCATTACTGCTTCACGGCGGAAATAGGCGGGGTGGTGGTACCTACCCGTGCGGACTCCCAAGAGGTCCTACCACCAGTGATATTATAATTTAATGGCTTCTTATCAAAAATTTTAATTCTAATCATTTGGAACAATAATTCAGAATTCCTGCAAGGCTCATCATTTGGTGCAGACAAATCTGTCTACCCACTTTATATAGTTTCAACAGCTTATTTGAAAACACAATTTCATTTGATAATTGCAACTGTGCTTAATATTGGAAACTATAATAGCTACAAGTAATTTTTTTATTTAATTTTATTTATTTAATTTTGTTTATTTAATTTTATTTATTTAATTTTATTTATTTAATTTTATTTATTTAAGTTTATTTATTTAAGTTTATTTATTTAATTTAATTTATTTATTATTAACATAGAAGTAGAAACACAATCATAATTTGCATCTGTGCTTGAACTAGGTGATAAAACAAGCAGCAGTGCTCCTCGTACAAATAATACAACAGCTTTACATCAAATACACAAAAATAGACAAAAATTAAACTAAAATTCATGGATTGCATAAAAGTGACAATATGTGAGCTTAAAATAAAAAATATAACAATTAACAAAAAATATAGAAATGCATGTATTAATTGTACCCTCTGTGAGCGAGTGTGAGAGGGTGTGTGGGTGTCACAGTCAACTACACAGTCGAAAACATAAAAAGTTATTTGAGTTATGATATATTTGAGTTATAGTTATATCCCGATCCACTAACGGTGCTTTTAGGTACTTCAAGCACCGGTCACCGCTCTCGTCGAACCCGTCGCTTGCGACGAAGGGCTCGACGAGTAAATTAACTCTCAGACACAGCCCACTGAGTTTCTCGCCGGATCTTCTCAGTGGGTCGCGTTTCCGATCCGGTGGTAGATTCTGCGAAGCACGGCTCTTGCTAGGGTTCGTGTTAGCAACACACCAGGTTTGAGCCCCGTGAGCTCACCTACTAAAGTTAGGGTTACGCTGATATAGCCCCTAGGGCTATCAGAATAGGTAGGAAAAAAAAAAAAAAAAAAGGGGTCGTTGTATGAGGACTCGCGTTGTATGAGGTCCCGCGTTGTATGAGGTCCCGCGTTGTATGAGGTCCCGCGTTGTATGAGGTCTCGCGTTGTATGAGGCCCCGTGTTGTATGAGGACTCGCGTTGTATGAGGTCCCGCGTTGTATGAGATCTCGCGTTGTATGAGGTCCCGCGTTGTATGAGGTCTCGCGTTGTGTGAGGTCCCGCGTTGTATGAGGGCCCGCGTTGTAGTAGGTCTCGCGTTGTATGAGGTCACGCGTTGTATGAGATCTCGGGTTGTGTGAGGTCCCGCGTTGTAGTAGCTCTCGCGTTGTATGAGGTCCCGCGTTGTATGTAGTACCAACTATGTAGTACCTATGGTATGTTAAAAATATCTTATTTCAAAATGCAAAATTTTGCATACAAACATAACAGTGTCGCTATAATTTTTTTGGATAATCAATCTATTTGGATATAAGAACCAAGTTTGATTCTGAAAAAAAATATTTCAATTTCTTCAAAACTATTTTTACCATTATAAAGGTTCTGAAGACGTGTGAAACACTATCATCAAAAGCAGACATACTGTGCAAAATCTCAGACTATCAGAGTGCCAAACAAGTGCTCCTCAAAGCATGGAAGTTGAAGACCCCTGATGAAGAAGAAAGGGATAATATTGAAACAAATTTGAGAGTTGGTGAGATAAAAAATTATTATATTATCTGAAAATACAGGTCATCAGATATTTATGGTACATAGTTTGTGAACAGAAATGCACTGCTTAATTAATCTCACACTAAGAAAATGTTATATAAAGTTTCATTATACCCAGCCCTGCAATATGAAAAGCCATGAATAAAAAATTTAGACAATGTTAATACTAATTTGCTTTATTTATGTTATTTTGTATAGTGGCAGCAATGTGCTATACAGAAGATCTCTTAATCTCAACGGATCCATCAGACCACGCGACCTTCAAGAAACTCTATGAGAAGCTTGGAGATGGAGCTTGTCACATTCGGAATTATCCCGGGGCCGTAGAGTATTATCTGAAGATGTTGGAACACGCTGAACTAGCTGGAGATTGTGGAAAGACTTTAATACCCATTTATGTTAGGTAAGTAGGTGAACAGAACTTCTTCTTTTTTTTCATAGTCGGATACTCTTGACAGAGTAGCTGTGGTTGTGGATGGACAGGGTTGCGTATCGTAGTCACCTCTCGCTTCCAGTAAACAGAATAGTCACCATTCTCCTGCCCTTCTCCAAGTCACTTGGGGTCAGCGCAACAAGTTTTTAATACGCTTTTATAGCTTCAGACGTATGTATGTAATGAGCTTCAGACGTATGTATGTAATGGAATCTTTGAACATGATTTTGACCCCCTTCAAAACGTCGGATTAACTCGAAATTGGTATACTTATTAAGGACCGAGGGCAATTAAATATTTAAAAAAAATTTGAGAAAATTGAAATTCCAACTAAAAAATGAAAAATAAATAATACTTTAAAATAACTAATAAAATACGCTTTTATAGAACACCCAACTAAAAATAAAAAATAAATTTTAATAAAATTGAATTAAAAATAGTGTAAGAAAAAGTGATTTTAATGTAAAAAAGCGTGGGGTGCTTTTCAGGATATTATCAATATAACCCTTCTACTGTCTGTTCATAAAACCCCACGCTTTTTTTTTACAATAAAATCACTTTTTCTTACACTATTTTTAATTAAAATTTATTTCTTTCCATACTCCTCCTATATGATAATATACCATTTCTTTGCCCACTACCCTCTTACACATATCACCTTCCACGCAATCCATCCATTTCTTCTTAGGTCGACATCTTCCTCTAAAACGTTCCACATTCATAGTTAAAACTCTCTTACTAGCCTCTAACAACCATATTTCCTATCTTCTACTTAGTCGCCATTAAGATACCCACGGGAAGAGATGAGCTCGTGGTACCCTTGGCCACCACACAGCCCAAATTTATTTAATACAATTTTCTTTTTCAGCTTGTATCAAACATACAAAGACATGGGTTTGTATAGTGAAGCCTTAGATTATTACGAGAAAGAATACGAACTTATAAAGGATGTCCCGAAAGAAGCATACACCACACTCTACAACATTGCGGAGACATTGTATCTGGCTAAGAGGCCTTATGAACGAGTAGAAGAGGCATGCTTAAATGCTCGGAAAGCTGTGAGTACATTCATCTAATAAAATGTAGTGTTCGCCTATAGATAGGAAATATTTGTATAGAAAAATCATAATTTTCTTATAATTTTTTTGGTCACTGTAATTGCCTTTGTCACACTATGTCCTAGGACTGAATGAATAAAACCCTTCCGTCTATTTTCAGTCAACTTAGGCATATAATAAGACGATGGTCAAACTATTTATACTAATATTATAGGCCCAATATTCTTAAAAAAAATTGGCGAGATCAGGATTTGTGGAATAGTCAGCGGCGACAACAATAAGGCGATTATCATGACGCTTAGCCTCATCAAAGTACCGTTCCGACGCTGACTTCAGGTGTTGGATGCAGGCTGCGCAGTGGCAGTTGTTATGGCGAACCGTGGGGAAGGCCTATGTCCATGATTGGACGATCGTGAGCTCAAAAAAAAAGAAGGAATTTGACTACCATCACTGACTAAATTTATAATAGATACATTTTAGGTATTACATTTCTTCTTTTGCTTTGTTATTGAAAAAGAAGCTTCCCGTATTATACAAAAGTTCGTCAATAGATGCTAAACTAAAATTAGTTGACGAACACGTAAAATTGATACTCAAATGTCTTTATTTTTGCCTATTTAAACATAGATAATCAAAATTTCAGGCACAAGATTGGAATAAAAGGAAATATGAAATCAGAATATTAAGAAATCTTCTAAAATACCAAGAGGCATATTTTGAGATTGATAAAACGGAAGAGACCAAATATGAACTAAGAACATTGGGCTGTGATAATTTTGACTACGTGGAGCATTCCGAAGATGATCAGAGTTCAGCGGGTGGGGGGGACGATGACACGACTCATATCGGTGATGATATATGCCTGGATGATCTTACAGGTAAATTTATGAAAGGCCTTTTATTTTGTTTTTAATTAATCCTCTCGCGATACGGACTTTTTGGCGGGAACGCGAGGAGTGAAGTTGTTTTATTTTTGTCTATTTAGTATTTCTTCAGGTTTAACTGTGTAATAACGGTGGTTTGTTAACTGTTTAGTATATGTGAAAGTGTAACTTCTCGGGATCATCCAAAAAGTCCACTGAAAAAGTCTCAGTGAATGACCACCATTTTACATACATATACATATTTTTTTAGATTATATTTCATCCCGTATCATCTCATCTCATCTCATTTCATTTCATGCCATGTTTCATATTAATCAACTTCATTTCATATCATGATATCATTTTTCATATAAAAATAAATTCATTAAAATTATAAGAATTAAAATAATAAGACGACCTCAAGGTCTTAGTTACCAGGTCATAAAATCCCTTAAAAAAAGTATCTCGCACTACGTTAAGATTATCAGTTTTTTTTATCCTATCTATGCGGATAGCCTTGAGAGGCTATTTCAGCTTCTCCTTGACGTGCCGGGGAACTCATGGGGCTCAAACCAGGAGTGTTGTTAACACTGACCCTAGCAAGAGCAGTGCTTCGCAGAATCTACCACCTCTACATCCCTCTTCCCTACAAGATAGCGTTACTATTTATTGTTATTATTTATTTGAACTATTTATTAGTGGCTAAAAATTGTCTCTCGGCATAACTGGGTTTCAACTGTTGCAGTAAAAATATTATTATAATTTCTAGATATGTCTGACACAAATGAAGAAGACGTGACAGAGACGAAACGGGAGACAAGAAAGAGAGGGAAGGGTTACGTTATAAAGAAAAATATGAAAGGCGAAACACAGTTACATGTAGTGAGTATCGATTTTTCTTATAAAAATTTGGGTAGACGAGAGGAGTGCGTCCGCATGCAGATTTTTTAAAATTTATTGCTTAGATGGGTGGATGAGCTCACAGCCCACCAGGTGTTAAGTGGTTACCATACCAGTGGAGTCCATAGACATCAACAACGTAAATGCCGCCACCCACCTTGAGACATGAGTTCTAAGGTCTCACCTTTAACAGTATAACTCTAGCAAGCACCGCCGGGCCTCGCTTTATGCGGGCTTACTGTTAGACGGGCTGGCGCTGTACTTGCTGTTGTATGAAGAGTAGTTAGAGAGACGGAAGGCCGCTATACTTTTTTGTTCGGTCATGTGGCCGATGCTCCTAAGGTGTCCGCGCCTATGGGGATGTGGGGTATGTGGGACTTGGCGGTCTGCAGATGTTGGGAGCTGATCGCGGGCTTTAGGATGGTTTTTTGGGCCCTACCGCAAGGCAGCTACTCCTGACTTATGCTGAGTGGGCATCGGATAGATAACCATTAAACACTATCTGCCGCTTGTCTCAGTATTGCCCGTGACGTTACACAATACGATTGCTTTTTTGGTTTTATTAGTTGGTGGCCTCAAGGGTCTCTTCCAGCTCCGTGGCCCTGAAACTGCGATACTTTAAGACAAGTATTTTTTTGTATGGAAACTACCGACATCTTGTAACGGATGCCCCTAAACTTATATGTTGTTAAAGTTAAGGCATTGAATTATTGTAAAACTAAACACAGAAAAAAATTATAAATCATTTGTTTGTTATCATTTGTTATAGACAAATTGATTAAATTTTATCAATTTGTGGTTTCTGAAAATTTACAAAATCCTTCATTAAAAATAAAATAAAGGATAGGTAATAAGTTACTGTCATCTACAGGAGCAATGAGAAACTAATCGAAGCAAAGCCATCTAGTGGCCGACGCCCGAAAACATTTTTGTTGTATGTTTAAGTTGCTTATCTATAACTAATTTATGTGTATTATCTATGTCGAGCTCCTCCGGCTTAGTAGGCGAGCGTGTGCGAAAGTGGGTTTATAATTACTATCCTGGTGTTATACATTATTGTGTTCATAATAGGCTGCTATATCCGGAAACAAACTTCTGTTGGAACGGCTTCTAGCCAACGGACATCCGGTCAATATCAGGGACAATGCCGGCTGGCTACCCCTACACGAGGCTTGCATTCATGGGCACCTTGAAATAGCTAACATGCTCATACACAACGGAGCCAACGTCAATGATCGGGGCGGCTCTAACTGTGATGGTGAGTCACTGAATTTATTTGTAACCATTTTAATGAAAGTTCCTTTAATCTCTTAGCCTTATTGAACTGATGCTCTATCTTTCTCTTATTTATTTAATTCCTCTCGACTGATTATCTTGACTTGCGATAGAGTGTGCTGTGACTTAGTATGCAGTGTCCTAACAACCAGCCTATTTCTGCCGCCAAGAAATTATGCTCTCCGTTGTCATAGGTAGAATAGCTGTGATATGAATGCTATTAAGATTTCTTATTAATGTCAACTTAAGCACTTTATTGCTTGTGTTGCTTCCGTCATCCACACTGAATCTGAGTGTGCGGTGAGCTTATATTTACGCGGATACAAGAAATGATGAGCATTCGACAGGTATTACCCCGCTGTATGACGCCGCCAGTAATGGTCATCTCGAAGTCGTACAGCTACTCCTAGAAAAGGGCGCGATACCTTCACTGAAGACAGACTTCGGGGACACGCCCTTAAGGGCACTGCAGAAATGGCGAGCCGGCACTATCCTGACCAGAGACGAAGAAACCATGTACAATAACGTGTGCAATAAAATCCAAAATTCAAGCGATAGAACCAGCACTGACTTAAGGTGCAAATCGGTGACTCCGGTCAAAAATGAAGACGAAATCGCTCCGCCGAGCACGTCCAAATGCAAGAGGAATCTAGACTCACCGGCGCTCAGACGCAGAAATATCATTGATGACGCCAGCGATGACGAAATCGATCTGTCTCAGAACGTCCGGAGAGAATTGGCGTTCCCGTCCGACGATTCAAACGATTCCGACGAAAAATCAAACGTTAATATGGAGGTTTCCGGTGTCAAAGAGTACAGGAGTGCCATGTCCGCTTTGAGAAACAGAAACCTCAACGACCATTCTGAAGTTAATACGAAAAAGACCAAGCCTAAGTCAGCTCTGTTAGCCCCCGAAGAGGTCGATGATGATTGGCTGGAAGATGATTTGGGTATCAATAAAAATAAAAAGAGAAAACTCAGCGACCCACTCACGATCGTCTCGAAGAAACCTTCGTACGAGCAAATCAAAGAGAGCGTTGACAGTATCAATAACATACCTGAACCTCTGATCGAAAATACGTTGAAACAAAATAGGTCACGGATCGATGACGTCATCGATGTAGACTATATCTCGGATTACGATCGAGCAGACGAGAACATTCGACCCGAAGCAAGTCCCGCCAAATTCGCGAGGAACAATACAAGAGAATTAGATTTTAAAACGAACGACAGCAGGGAGAACATGAGGAAACGCTGGAAGCGCCAGAGCACGCTACTGAAGTCCGGCTTCCAGAGGAAACTGGACGAGGACCAATCCAGTAACAGCGGAAGTGAAACCGAATTTACTAGAAGAGACTCTTTTCATGCTAGAAACAAGTCGATCTCCCGACATTCTTCCGCCGAAAATTTCAATGAAGGCTTCAATATAATGCAAAATATTAATCCTAATATCGTCCAACCGGTAAATGTGATACAGCCAATTAATATAGTCAAATCGACGAAGAACGGGAGGCCCGTACAGACGCAGATACTACCACCGGCCGCCGTGAAGGTACACATAGAGGACAAAGTGTTGCTGATCTCTTTGAAATTGGACACAATAAACAGATTGACGATAAGCTGGCTGGTTGAGGAAGTCAAGACCAGATATTATAAGTAAGTTGATTTAAAAAAATTAATAACACGTCTTCTTGATATCTACTTCTTAATATATTATAGTCTTATTTTGGTGCTTCGTAAGGTTTGAGTCCCGTGAGCTCACCTACTAGTTCAGCGAATTTAGAATAATCCCTCGAGGTTACTAGAATAGGTAGGAAAAAAAATTGTACCCACAGAAATGTAAAATAACGTTTATTGAACCCCCAGTCCAAATAAAAGAAAGAAATGATTATAGTACAATGTTTATTGGCAATGCATTATTGTTATATGTAACGGGGTCGATGCACTCGATCGAACGTCTTCGTATTGCATTGCTGGTTCATAAAACTTACGCAAGCGACAAGCATTCGTGCCTAAATAAATGAATTTTGTTATTTGTTAGCATTATTAATAGACTTACTGTAATTTTTGCCCCGAACAGTTCTCACAAACCATTTAATAAATGATTTTTTTGTGTATTTATTTTAGTTCCAATCGACACGTTAATTTTTTTTTTGCTTAGATTGGTGGACGAGCCCACCTGCCCATCTGGTATTAAGTGGTTACTGGAGCCCATAGACATCTACAAATTAAATGCGCCACCCACCTTGAGATATCAGTTCTAAGGTCTCAAGAATAGTTACAACGGCTGCCCCGCCCTTCAAACAGAAACGCATTACTGCTTCACGAAAGAAATAGGCAGGGTGGTGGTACCTACCCGCGCGGACTCACAAGAGGTCCTACCACCAGTAAGTTAATTTAACCAGTAAGTTAAGTTAATTTATATGATTTACGAGCGACCCGCCCTCGCTTCGCTTCGGAAACATTAAATTTTATTATTGATAGCCGAGTCCCGCGATGTTACTCGCGGTTATTGTCGTACCGGGGGTGAAGCCGCGGGGCGAAGCTAGTCTAAAAAAGTAGCCTAAATTACTCCTTATATCATCAGCTACCTATCAGTGTAAGTCCCGTCAAAATTCGGTGCAGCCGTTCCAGAGATTAGCCGGAACAAACAGACAGACAGACAGACAGACAGACAAAAATTGTAAAAAATGTTATTTTGGTGTATGTACCGTATATAAGTGGGATATCGGTACTTTTTGGTTATTTCGCACTGGCACACGAGTTTTATTTTTAAAAGACGAAAATATAAATGACTGATATAAGTTTGACATAACGATGTTACGGATGTGTATGTAGTATTTTTTGAAAGAATAAAAGATTTTGTTGTTAAACTAAATATCCAATAGATTTCGCCATACCATCCCACATCTTTTTGGGGGCTCGTCCGGGATACCGTCCGGGATACCGTCCAGGATATCGTCCGGGATACCATTCAGGATACCGTTCAGGATGTCGTTCGGTGAGAAATCACTGTGGATTGACGAATTTCTACAGAGATAAGTTGTAGGCAACCTGTGCATTTTCGTTGTGCATTCAAGACTTGGAGACGTGTAAAAATAACGATTTTATGATGAAGTTTTGTGTAACGTTATTTTATGCAGACTTATTATGAAGATTACATAAGATTATTTACTGAAGATTACTTAAGAAGAAGACTGATTTTGAAAATTGTTATTAACGACTACTACGACTATTTATTTACGAGTTCAACGAGACGATAATCTTTTTTTTGCATAAAAATCCTAAAGTAAAAAATGCCTCCTAAGAAGAATAATGATAGTGATGAAAGAGAAGAAGTTGAGGTGCATATCTCGTTTCGTGATTTGGAGCAGTCCATGACACCTTTCACCGGAGATGATACCTACCCGATTTCGGAGTTTTTTGAAGAATTTGAAGATGTTGCTGATTTGATGAAGTGGACCAAAGTGGAAAGATTGATCTATGCAAAGAAACTTTTGGGTGGAACAGCAAAGCTATTATTAAGATCTATTGGTAGAGTTATCTAGGAGACTATCCTACTTTGAAGGAAGCCCTTATTGAAGAATTTGGCCCTAAGTTTAATAGTGCTAAGATTCACAAGAACCTTATTTCACGAAAGATAAAAAATGATGAAACGTTACAACAATATTTTTTAGTTATGAAAGAAATAGCACTGCAGGGAAGAGTAGATGATGCTGCTTTAATGGAATACGTTATAGATGGTATCAATGATCCTGAATCTAACAAAGCAATTTTATATGGAGCTACAGATTTGAAAGATTTTCGAAAGAAGCTAGACATTTACAGTGATTGTCGAAAGAAGCTGGACGTTTACAGTGATATTCGGAAGAAAATGAGTACACAATCATATCACCAGGCAGTTCCTCGAGTAAATGCAGATGCAGGCACATCGCCATCAAGAAAACAGCATTTTAAAAGATGCTATAACTGTGGTGATTTAGACCATCAATTCTCCGGCTGTACAAAGGGCATTAAATGCTTTAAGTGTAATGAATTCAGCCACAAGGGAAACGAATGTAAGAATGATGCTAAAAAGTCTTTAATTATTCAGAAGAAAAATGAAGAAGAAAAAATCCTTTACAAGAAAGTGTTATTGAATGGAACAGAGATGGTGGCTTTGATCGATACAGGAAGTGACGCTAATCTTATTAAACAATCAGAATTTGAAAAAATTGAAAATAATATCCAACATTATGACAAGAATTCAGAAGTTCGTCTTACGGGTATTGCTAACAAAGAAGTACTTATCAAAGGTGTTTTTACTACTCAGCTACAGATTGATAATGCTGTTACGGATATCAAATTTTACATTGTGGAAGATGATATAATACCTGTAAAGCTGATCATTGGCAACCCCATACTGCGTGAATTCGAAGTTAAGTTTACAAGAAATGGTATTGTAATGGAGAAGATACCACTTTGTGCTATTGTTGCAGAGAAGGACGAGGTCAAAGAAGACTACAAGAAATTAAAAAAAGAACATTACAAGAAGTTAGAGACAGAAGATTATAAGAAGTTAGAGAAAGAAGACTGCAAGAAGTTGGTTAAAGTACCTTACCAGAATCATTTGACACAAAATAGAATACTGTACAAAGAGAAGAATGGAAGTAGTTTTATCGCTGTACCAAAGAAGATGGAAAAAGAAATTATAAGAGAGAATCATAGAAGAGGACGACTAAAAGTTGAAGATTGGGAATGGAGGAGGTCCGATACATACGTCTAGCCTTGCTAATTTTATTAAACTATGAACTGATTCGTCTGAGGAAGACGAATGGGTAGGAATGGCCGAGTGGGATATCGGTACTTTTTGGTTATTTCGCACTGGCACACGAGTTTTATTTTTAAAAGAAGAAAATATAAATGACAGATATAAGTTTGACATAACGATGTTACGGATGTGTATGTAGTATTTTTTGAAAGAATAAAAGATTTTGTTGTTAAACTAAATATCCACTAGATTTCGCCATACCATCCCACATATATGCATATATACATTCATACATGCATACATATGCATTCATATGCATATAGTAAAAAGAGGCTATTTCAATATTACAAACAGACACTCCAATTTTATTTATATGTATAGATGTAACTATTGTCCACGCATTGTCCAGACTGACCGGCGTGCGTCCAGTGTTCAGCCTGATGACGTCAGACGGTGCGATTCTCTCCGAAGACGACCCCCTGAGCCTGGTGCTTTCGTCGCCCGAACTGAAGACCTGCATCACCAACTGGAAGGCTTCTCCAGCTGAAGAACGATACTTGGAGTGCTGTGATGCTTTAGGAACGTGTAAGTGAAAATTTCAACTGTATTATAAATCTTCATCCTTCTACGAAATACGTACAGTATATTTCTAATGAAGGAAGTCGAACCCTTATGCTTAAAATTTGAAGTTATAGTATATAGTAACGTGATCACGTCGTTGGTTTGATGTTTGGGAACCCCGACGATGATATCTTCGGATCCCGTTTCGATTCGCGGCGGTGGTCAGAATCTTTAAAGACATCGGTATTTGATAATTACTTATAATACAATTTTGTCGGGTTTGATTGTACTAAACACGATGCTATTCCTTCATTCTGGAAGGCTTTGTTAAGGACGTGTTAAGTGGGTGTTTTATTAGAAAAAATTGGTATGTGTCTGTTGTATTTGAACACAGGTCCAGTCCCGTCGATACGAGTACACTAGTTATCTTATCCTTTAGGCCACGACAACTTCTAAATAGTAGTATTTTTAACTTAAGTGATTTTTAACCGTTTTCAAAATAGGAGGTGGTTCTCAATTCGACTATGTTTTTTTAATGTTTGTTACCTCATAACTTTTGACTAGGTGAATCGATTTTGATGATTCTTTTTTTATTAGAAAGCTGACGCTTCCCGTGTGATCCTATTTCAATTTAGTCCAGTTCTGATTATGGTATCCATGAGAGTCATATAAGTCTTAAATTTGCATTAAGTACGTGCGCGACAAATAGATGAGTAACACAATATAACGCCAACCGATTTCGATGATTATTGTTTTCTAGTGTACATTAATTTGTTTTGGAATATCTTTTTTTTCCTATTTGAAGTCGGTTTTTGTTAAAGCATATCTATTTCTAATTATTATTTTTTAATTTACAGCGCCCTCGAAGGAAATTCAAGAGGCAATCGGCCGGAGTCTCACGACTCGCAGACTCGCGCTCGGTCCGCAGACGCTCTCCTCATCGCAAACACGACCCCTCTTCAGAGCGATCACCCACCAAACACACATCACGGCCATCATAATGTCGGACAACAATTTGGGAGACGCCGGCGTCAAACATCTAGTTGATTGTGTGTCGACATTGAAACACCTGACGCTGATTGATATCAGCAAAAACAATATCTCCAGTGAAGGAACGAAATTGATACTGAACTTGTTCGAGAAATCGCCCAGAATGGTGTGTCAATCGTTAGAGGAATTTGTAATTAGCAACAATCCAATTTCTGATGACGGATTCCGGAATATAATCAGAATGTGTCAGCATGTGCGATTGAAAACGTTAAAATTGAACAATTGTAAAATAACCGAAAAATCGATTATTGATATGAATAAATCGATTAATATCGATAGCCTGGAATCGATTGATATTAGTGATAATGATATGAAACAAAATGCAGTGGAGTATGTATTGTCGTCATTAAACGCGAATCGGTTAGTTGATTTGGAGTTGAACAATGTAGGATTGGAAGGGAGTGCCGTTGGATGTGTTGCCAGCTTCCTGGATTCTGCTAAAGATTTAAAGTTAAGGCGCTTTGGTTTGTCGAACTGTAAACTCGTCGATGGACAGTTTATGAGAATATTCAGGTAATAATTTATCATCTATATTGTGTTTTTATTAGGAATAAAAGATGATGAGACTCAAAAATCTAATAATAAAAAAAAAGTTAATGATTTTTCATTCGTTAACTTTAGGGCAAAATTGACAATCTATAAGATATTTTATTTTATTTTTATGGATGCATCAATTATAAGTTTAATTTTTTTAAATCAATATCGAAAAAAGTTGGTTATCTCTGTTATTATATTATCTCTGTTAAAACAATCAAGTTTATAGTATCAAAATTCTAAATTGAACACAAAAAAAAATATTGTTCATACAAGTTGGTAAACTTGGTTTTATGTGTGTCGGAGCCGGCTTTAGACTCATAATTTTCACTGAATTCTTACAGAAGCCTGAGCAGAGCGAAACACCTACAGTCAATAAGTCTAAGGAAAAACAACATAACATTTATAACACTCAAGAAACTGCTACAAAGACAGCCGCCTGTGCCACAAGTGAACTTAGAAGGGTGCCCGGACATATTCAAGTACTCGCCCGATTCAGATTTTCAAGTGTGGCTACCAGCAGTCAACTTTGGACGGTGTTTACCTGAAATCAATGTCACCCCAGTGTCTAAGAGCGAGGAGGAGAGAGACAGTTTTAAGTCTTTCTCTAAAACCTGGCTCAGTTGTTTCAATGGTAGGGGTGTCATAGAACATTGCGATGGAACCGTAATCAAACTAACGGCTAGGTGATGATGCATCTTTAAATCGACTTTATCTGTCCTGATTTTAAAGTTTTTTTACGGATTCCTTATCTACGACGTATCAGTGTTATGTGCGTGTTTTATTTAATTGCTAGCAGGCAGGCTAGTGTACAGCCCAGTGGGAGAGGACTGTCAAGTGACCGGAAATGTCCTATTCAGTGCTGCTAGATCTGAACTGATACTGCTTTAGACTGTTCACAATACGGCCATATTAATTTTGAGGATTGTTTTTATTGCTCAATCAAATGTAATAAAAAATAACCTGTTTGAATTTGTACAAATGTGGTCCACCTATTTATTTCATATTTTATGTTGATTTTGCACCAGTAAGCTCCTATTAAGTAACACGAAATTTTGCCCACCTAAAATAGCCAAGGTATCTTCATTTTGTAGAAAACATTTTATAGGACATTGCAATTATTTTTTTTTGTAAATATTTTAACACAATTTAAAACGATGAATGTATTAAACATTTAAGAATGAACATCCTTAAACAGATGATCCGTCTTTTTGGAGAAGCTGTATTATTTAAGTGTACAGGACTTTACATCCGGGAGGCAAAGTTCAGTGACTGTTACATTTTCCTACACTAGCATTTGAGACGTGCACTCTAACAGTTACCAAGCGGCTGATAATGCTACGCCATTATTACAAATTAAACGTAAAGGATTAGGAACAAGACATTCCACGCATCCTCCATCACTGTTCACATATCCGCCGAAAATTACCACAGATAACACTAAATCGAATTATACCTACCTCCATAAAGTATCAAAATATGATAATTAACATTTAATTATTAATAATAAAATTGAATGAATTCGTAGGTCGAATGTTAAATCTACTTAAAGCTTAAAGTAGTGAAATAACACTATTTTGTCGCTTCCGATTGTGTTTGAATTTGAGTGATATTGGAAAAGAAAATGTGGTGTCGCCATTCTTAGGCTACGTTAATACATTCATAAGTCATAAATATGTATATTTTAGGCTGTATGAACAATCGTAAATATTGACGATTTACTTTGTCTACATGTATTTATGGGATTTATTTGTGTAAAACAGTGAGGTTCAGATGACAGATAAGTTATATTCATATTTATGTTATTTATAAAACTGTATAAAAAAGGGAATGTAATTTTTTACCTACAGCCTGTAGTACTTCATGAAAATTGGTGTTTGTTTTTCTCGCGTCTCGTTGACAAAATTGAACACCCTGTACATGAAATGCTAAAGAGTTTTAATTGAAAATAAGAATATATAAATGAAAGGAACGTTTTTTATTGCTGTAATAATAATTATCATTAAATATTTATTACATTAGCTATTTGGAAGCTGAATGATATGCTGCGGAGGTTAAAGTGGAGTAGCTTTCCTGTCGTAAGATTGCTTTCGGACCATGACTTGCACTAGACCGAAAAAGGTGTCACTGCTCAAAAGAGCGATTCTCATTTGCATTGAAATTACGGCTACCTCATCATTCAGACGTGAACTCACGTGTGCGTCTTTAGAGACACTACCTAGAGTTTAACAAGTACCTACTCTAATGATGATGATCATTTCCAAGCCTCAGATCTGAATATTTAGAATAATCATTATCATTAGAGTAGGTACTTGTTAAACTCTAGGTAGGGTGTCTCTAAATGTACATTAGCGCTTTAAGTTGTTCTTTAAAACAGTTAAAATGCTCGTGTCCAACACGATCCAGATGCCGACAGTCACCTCCTGCGGTGAGGTGAGCTATTACTCTGAAAGCACCGGATGGACTTTGAGTTAAACTTGACTTCTTAAATATTAAAGACAGCATATTTGTAGATTATATACGGAGCGCTGCAATTATAGAGTAACATAGAGTATAATTGAAAAGATAAAATATTATACTGTATTGGCTAGACCTGGTGAGCGAGTCTCTCAGGCGGTGGCCGTGAGCTCGCTGTACATTCGCTAAAGTTAGTATAACCCCTTGAACTTACTAGGATTAAGTAGGTAAAAAAAATATGTCCGTTCTTCAGCAGCTGATAGCAAGTCCAAATCATCCTGGCTGAGCCAGGGGGTCGCGTGTCTTGGTGAAACAGGAAAGACTTTTGAGCCACCAGTCATATAAAAAAAATCTTGGTGGATTAAAAACTTTTTAAGATACTAAATAATAATTTTTATAGTCAGGAGAACATTTCCCAACTAACGCGCTAAAAGCGATAGGCGGGAAGCACAGAATCATAGGATGTTTAGATTATTTATTTTGCTTCATGTTGCGTAATGTCAAAGTGACAATTATGGTAACCTCTAAATAATCGCCAATTCCAAACAAACCGAGCTGCTTTGAGGAGAGGTTAAAATTTTAATTCCACCGTTTTGTACGAAAGTGTTTTTGTGTAATAAAAGTAATATAAAGATATAAATAAAAATGGCTGAACAAGTAAATCAACGTATTGAGAATATGATAAATGAGTTGGAGCAAATGAGAAGAACAAACTTATATACAGATGAAGAGATAAAGTATGTTTCCACTATATTTGTAGTTTTCACAATTAGTCGTTGAAATGATAGCACGAATGCCGAAACATAATGTATTCGAAATACTCTCCATACCATACAATGCAATTAATTTTAATTGTTAAAGTTACACAAAATTCCCAAATTAAATGAATTACCTGTTTGTTGTCTTTATAGTGGTAGTATTGGTCTCGTTTCAAAATTCTCGTGTTATTTTGTAATTAATAACGGTACCTATGCGCATGTAATACATTCGTTACAAAAATTTCAGAGAAATATCCCAAAAACGAAAAGAGTTTGAATATCACATACAAAGGAGAGTCAAACAAAAAGAAGATTATGTTCAATACATCGCTTATGAACTTGCCTTACTTGAGGATATAACAACGCGTAGAAAAAAAATACAACTAACAGAGAAGAAAAAGGATTTGGAGTATGCCATTGCTCAACGTTTGAACCAACTTTTCAAGCGCTTTATTTATAAGTTCCAAAATGAAATTGAAATATATTTTGAGTATATAAAATTCTGTAAGGGTGTGGGGTTTCAACAGGCTATCTCAGGTATCATCGGACAAATGTTGCAGGTATAGGAAAATAATAAAAATCTTTCATTCTTAATTTGTAACTATAAAATATAAAACTTGTAATTATGTGCACTTGACTTGTACTAGACAACTGGTAGAAAAATTTTCTTCAAGTTTATGATAGATGTATAAATATACTAGCCGTACTTGCCCGCTTTGCTGGGCGTTTAAAATTAACATTATTATTTACTGTCCTTATTATTAGAAAGTTTAACACTACTTAATATATTACTAAAAACTGCATCTAATTTGGCTGTTTACTGTAGAAATTAACATACTGCAAACAGACTTCATTTATGACTGCCTTTTACAATGTATTTATCTAAAAGTGGAACATTTTACTATTTACAGATACATGGTGATAAACCTCAAATGTGGTTGATGGCGAGCAAATGGGAGAGTTTAGAACAGAACAATCTAGAAAATGCAAAGGCCTTTCTTTTAAAGGGAATTCAAAGAAACCCTGATGCTGAGCCATTGTACCTTGAATTGTTCAACATTGAGCTAATTGATTTGTGCTTTAAGGCGGAGACTGACGAAGAAAAGGTATGTACTCTATTTAACATTTCACATTCAATGACTTGAAGCTAGGAATGTCTTCTATGTTATGGGAGCCAGCAACATATGAGATGAGGACAAGTACAAATAAAACCCCCTTTTTTTATTACTCTTGCACATGGCTAACCCGATGGCTAGTAGTTAACATTGCCCATGGACATCAGTAATGCCAGGGGCAGAGCCAACCTGCTGCCTACAGTTAAGTAAATGTACCCTATTTAGTATTAAAAAATTAGATTTCTGCAAATAATATGTACAAACGAATTGAGAAATATATTTTGACTTATGATTTTATTTCATAACACATTCTTGAATATTTCTTTTTTTTTTTTAATGATAAACTATTCTGTCACTTGGGATGATATCCATATATGTTTTGTTTCGTTATCATTTGTCAAAACTTTGAAACTATAGAAAAACCTTTCGAAACTATAGCTTAGTTGAAAAGATAGAAGAGTGAATGATCAACTCAATTTTATTTGATGTTACAGGAGAAACTGCAAAAGAAGGCTGATATAATCTGGAGAAACGGAGCAAAGAATATCCAAAATGTGAAGTTTCTATTCAAATTGTATGACTTGTGTACCAAGTATGAATATACCGGTTTATTAGTGGACGATATAAAACTTGAAATATGGTTAAATCGTAATAACCAAGAAGTTTGGCCTTATCTTGCATCGAAGGAACTGGAAGTAAATTAGTTCTTATAAATTAATAATTCTTGTTTTGAACTTTTTGATGTCAACTTAATGGTCTGCAGTTGATATATTTTTTTATAAGGGTGACCTTTGAGACTTTTTGTCTTCATTTACATTGGAATATCTTCTGCTTTTTGAATAACAATAGATAGTGTACCCAAGCACATATAATTTATTTAATATATTATGTTTTAGGGTTTTCATTGGAAGGAAATAGAGGAATTTGCTGATGATGAACACAATTTTCCTAAAGTTGTTGGTTATGTCATAGGTATTTACGAAGAAGCACTGCAATTGGTAAGTAATTATATGTAGTGAAATGTCTTTACTGTTTATATTGGAGGTTAGCAGGATGATAGTATATAATAAAATAAAATTTATTTACAGTTTATGGACGAAAATTTATGCACACGTTTCATCCATGATTTGCTTGGTATGAGTGAAGATATATGTTCCGATCAACAAAAAATCAAAGCTGTAAAACATGCCTGGATGTACGGTCATGACAATGGTCTTCTCAGCAATGATATGTATGTATTTGGCATTGAAATGTTGAAACTGGAGAATGAGACAACTACTGATGAACTATTAGAGGTATACATTTAAAATGCTATTGTTAATTTAACTAATAATTCTGTGATCATTAGGTTGGTCACTCTCTCAACTGTTTAAAGCACACAGTTGAGGGTACCTCTTTGAATTTTATTGCTGGATATGCTTTAAAAGATAGTGATTTCTACAGCAGCCAGTTTAAGAGTTATCATTGTAATATCAAGAAAATTCTTAGTAAAATTTAATTTTTCATTATAGATTTTAAATGCAGCAATAAAGAGAAATCCCAAACTAAAGAGTGTCTGGGAACAGTTGTTACTTCATAAAAAAGATGATGAGAAACAACTTTTAGTAATACTACAAAATGCAACAAAGTCTTTGAATACTGGTGATGCCTTGCAGTTGTATAATATTCTATTAGATAACATTGAATCTGGGCCTATGGTAAGCAAGCAAATTTCCTTAATATTATCATAAACTCAATTCACACTAAATAAATACCTAACATATTAACCAACAAGTTTGTTAAAAATACTAGAAAACTGTTATAATAATATATAAATAGAAATAAAATTAATTTGACTAAAATTTTTTGGGTCATAAAGCCATAATGTATTTCGATCAAAAGAGTACATGTTTGTGTAAAAATCTTATATTAACATTAATTATTTTATTGTATTTTCAGATCAAAACCCTATACAAGAAGTTTCAAAATTGTGACAATGCAATTCTTCTTGCTGTTAAACCAAAACTTTTACAGAAAATGTACGAACATAATGGCCTGAAAGCTGCTAGGGAATTGTATGAAGATTTTATTAGGACACCACCAACACAAATTGAACTTCATAAAATAATGATCAATATCGAAAAATCGCAAGAAAAGCTAAATTTGAAAGCAATTAGAAAATGTTATGAGTGTGCTGTGCATCATCACGGGACTGACAACAAAGAAATTTGGGCAGATTATATTAATTTTGAAATTGAGAATGGGAATGCTCCAAATTCAGCAGTTGTATATAGAAGAGCTGTGGGCATGCTCAAGAAAGATATTGTTGATGAGTTTATTAGAGATCAAACTTTATCAAAAATAAAATGATATTAAAATAATTTTTATTTAATTTGAATATACATACATATCTTAATTAAGATAACTTTTACTTTTATCTCAGTTGACAGTGATATCGAGAAGCATTTTATACATCTGAAATAATTATAAATGCTAGATCAGACTTTAAAAAAGTTTGAATTATGTCTAAGCTTCACAAATACCAAAGAAAATGTTCATGTTCAGTTAATATTGTATTCTTCTTCTTCTTTGTCTCTACCTTATCCCACCAGGTGGGGTCGGCACAACAAAATTTTCTCCTCCATTCTCTTCTATCAGTCGTCATCTCAACACTCCTCTCTCTCTCTCATATCGTCATTCACCCACTCCATCCATATCTTCTTCGGTCAACCTCTTCCCCCTCTACTTTGCACACCATTTCCATACATCTCCTAGTCTCATGCAACTTCACCACACTATTCATCCACTCTTCAATTTGTTGATTACCCGGGCTACTTTTACACTTCCTCTGATATACTCATTCTCTGTCTTGTCCATTCTTGTCACTCCACACATCCATCTCAACATTCGCATCTCTGCTGCATGCACTATTAATATTGTGTTCATGTAAGTAAATGTACAATGTTATGAATTTACATTTAAATTTCTGAATTTATTTTGAGATAGATTCCTAAGTTATCTTATCAGTTTATTGCATACCAGATAATATTTTTTCTACAAGATTAAATTGTCATCATAAACAGACTAAGCACACAATAATTTGGATACAAGCAAGCCTGACACAAAAATCAAAACTCATTTGACAATCAAAATATATTTATTATAACCAGACTTTACAATAATCTAGCATAACAATAAANATTTATTTTGAGATAGATTCCTAAGTTATCTTATCAGTTTATTGCATACCAGATAATATTTTTTCTACAAGATTAAATTGTCATCATAAACAGACTAAGCACACAATAATTTGGATACAAGCAAGCCTGACACAAAAATCAAAACTCATTTGACAATCAAAATATATTTATTATAACCAGACTTTACAATAATCTAGCATAACAATAAAATTATTCATGTGGAACATCATTTATACTAAATTATTTACATTACATACACCTCTATTAAATCAACTACTTTGGTGATCATGGAACAAGACTTAGCAAATAAACGCCAACATGTAAATGCATAATGTAACTATTAATGTTTACTGCAATGCTGAAATCGGAGCTATGTAGTACCTAAATATAAGGGAGGAACCACGTTTGTGTTGTTTGTTTCTCATTAAATCCCTCCAGCATACTTGCCATGAAGGGTAGTTTGGCATTGCCGGAGGGTTGCCAGCCTTTAAACTAGAACCAGCTACTGCCATACAGGTAGATACCACAACCATTGGATATGTTATTGTGCTTGTTATAAATGTAAGCAATGGAATCGTGTAATATCTAAGATCTTTAGTCTTAACAAAATACTTGTTAACATAGTAAGCCAGAACTCCAGTTACAGCCAAACAAGTTAAATCTCCTAATACCTTAGGAATAAGGCCATGCAAGAATCCAAGGATACCGTCGTCCTTGTAAATAGAAACTATAGCGCCCAACAGTGAGCTGTAGTGTTCTTCTTTCCCAATAAATGAGGCCATCATTCGAACTGACACAACATGGAACGGGTGAGCAATAACGACTGCTACCGTTTGCATGATCATGTCTCTGCGTCCTAGTTTGATGTAATCTTCAACCTTGGGTTCATCATCGGTGACGATGTTGGGAGGGTCGTTGATTTCAGGTAGATCAATACCGACGGCTACTATTACCTTCGATGTGAGTTGACTTGCGGCGATAAGACCGAGCATTCTTGCTGATAGGCCCCTGTAGCAACCGAAGAAACCATCCGAAGCCTTTATGTACTTTATATACTGGAAAACGTTAGGTAATATCATGGCTGGGCGGCCAAACAGGGTCGTGGACCGGCGCGGAGCCAAAGGCTCGTACCCAAGCTGGATTAAAACTTTTGCGTATTCCATGGGATGGCATATTGTTGTAACAAGTATTTGTGAAGGTAACGCGGCTATTCTTTCTTTCTCAATTTCGTCCATATTTTGACAGTCTCAATCAAGCACTTTTGCTTTCTGAAATTAAAATTCGCAAACCAGAAACAAAGTAGACTGTAACTGTCATTAAATTAGGTGTATAATCTATGGTCATTTATATTTTAATTTGGACTCCTCTTTATTTTTTAGCTCCGGCACGGCTTGTGCATTAGCCAGTGACAAGTTAAGATTTTTATAATTCACCGTTTTAATTATTTACAGTTTATGAATAATAAAAAACGAAGGAAACTGATCGCAACATAACATAAATGATTAAAAACAAATTAAGTTTACAAATGAGATGATATGTGATGAAATAAATCTCAGTAAAATGGTGGACATTTACTAAGACTTTTTAGTGGACTTTTTGGAGGATCCCGAGAAGCTACGTCCAGCAGCTTTGTTTAATTTTCCCACAACTGTGCACTTTTACAGATTCTAAACAGTTCATAAATCACTATTATTGCACATTTTCAACCTGAAGAAACACTAAACAAACAAAATAAAACAATTCACACAACTTTGTTCCTCGCGTTCCGGCCAAAAAGTCCCAAACTGAACTCTATCACCCATGGAGTTAATAAGCTAACTGCATGCTATCTCCAAAGATGTATTTTTTATTTCAATTGTTCAGCGGATAGGCAAAAGAGACAGCCTAACGAAAACTGACAGAATTCAATGAGTTGAGATAAACAATTGTGCTATTAATTCAAAAGTTGGTATGTCTAATGTCTCAAGATAGACCAATAATAAAGAGGCATCAATAAAACATTAAAATTGTTGTAAAAATATTTATTTTCAAATCATGCATTAGCTTGCAGTTCGATTCCTGTTTCGTTGTCAATATTCGGTGATAGCTGCGGATTATGTAGTATGTGTACATTTTTTGATGTAATCTCATTTTCAGGAATTCTCTGAAAACCAAATGTGTATAGAAAAAAATATATGATTGTAATTTAGATTTTGTACATTTTCAGTTCAATTTAGCTTGAATTTAGTTAGCTAAAACCAACATAAAACGTACCGTGGTCTGCAAAACTGCATGGATGGTACAGTAAAATATTCAGTATTATCAATATTTTATGAACCTATATAATTAACGTCATCTATCGTTGATAGGTTATGATGGATTATTAGTTACCCGGAATCCTTTTCAGTTTCAGCCAAGGTGGGCGAGCAAAGGCTCAGCCAGGAGGGAGAAAGACAGTTTATTGTTATGACTATTGTTTAATTACTTGGCCAACAACGCTAACTAGTTTATTTTATTAATTTGGTTTCAAGTGTTCACAGAATTACAAGTATCTGTGCAGTTCTGCAGCCAACCCTCATTTGAGCTACCGTGTACAAAAAACGCCTAGCAACTGATTGGATCTCGTGATTCGCTTATTGCCTGAAAAATAACTAGTTGTCTATTATAGACTAAACAGTTAAACGGCTATTAAAAAAAAAAAAACATTATGCAAAGGAGAAACTTATTCAGTCGTTAAATACTAGAAATTACGTACAGAATCTTCGTCGTGCCCGTTAAGTTCTGGTTCTTCGTCATCATTTTCTGACGTTTCGTCCTTTTCTTCTAAAGTCTCCCATCGTTCAGACAAATCTAAAAATATTTTACAATGAAAAAAATTCGATTACTTTTTTATGTTGACAATGAATTCTGTATTCGATTTGATATTAGCAATCGTTAATTTTATATGTTACTGCTCCTACGTTTTCAAGAAGAGATTTAAGAAATTTTTAATGTGTTCTCCATCAAATTAACGCGAGTTAGAATATTCACTAATGGTTACAGGCTGGCAACAATATACTTTTGATCTGAATTTATTGGCATTTGCGGGTAGTGCACTCGTCGTCACATTATCAGTGATAATTGACAGCCATGAATACAAAACTATGATTACCAAAATTTTGCCTTAATTTTAATTGTCATAGAAAGAATGTAGTAGCTGTGCGGATTTATCTGTTGGTCTTGTAACTTTTTTATTCACCTCGAAACCTCAAAGATCCCTTTCTGTTGTTCGGTTTCTCTTCGTTAACGACTTCAATGACAACAGCTGGCGTTGCGTCGCCATTCGATTTCTTGTCGCCATCTTGATTATCATTTTCCGTTGTATTTAACTGGAAATCAAAATAAAATTTGTTATGTAATTGAATTTGAATTAATTAAACATTTTAAACATATCGTGCGTTGTGGGATTGAATTAAATAATCATATTTCTATTATCTATTAGTTATTTAAATTAAATAATGCCTATTCTGCTAAATATTCGAAATAAATTGTCATTTTTTTTCTTTTTTCTAAAATGTACCCTTCGGAAAAAATGTGATTTAAGGTCATTTTAATATACCTGTAACAGTGAGATGCTCGGTTCCTGAAGTTTTGAAGCCATTTCTTTGCTTTTCACTATCTTCTCGTCAGTCAGTTTTTCTAAATTAAGCCTGTAAGCTTTCTGAGTTCGCCACATCTGAAATAATAAAAGCTTTAAGTACTATTTCTTCACATTTATGTTTTCAACATTCATTCCATTGATTTTTATTGCATTTACGAACACCAAAACAAACAAACACTCCTACGCAATATTAGATTTTGGCAAAATGGCCCAATTGTTTTTCAGTTGTTGCCGCCATGAGTCATGAGGTGAGAGTCTCAATGTAGCACACACAACTGTTCTGCTTATTTCTGATCTCAACTAATCTTTTTCCGATTTGAAGTGTGGCTGTGATTCTAATAACAAACATTACGCCTTCTCAAAATCCACCCTAAGCCCAAAACATGAAATGGACATTCTAGGGTTTGTGATTGTGTGCCGATGTACTTATTTAAAATATATAGAAAATAATAATTAAAGATATTGCCAAGTATATAGGTGGATTTTACTGACATGATAACCGCAGTAGCACAATCCCAGTAAGAAAATAACAATGAGAGCTATAAATAATTTATCTGTGTTT